CAAGGGAGATTAGTGCTTTTGTGACGCAATGCAAGCTGAACTTTGAAGATGCCACAAGTTACATCAATCCAGATGTGACTGGCATCTTGCTGCCCTTCTGGATCCAGAAGAAGAAATACCTCAAGTGGTCGCACTAGAATTCAACAAAGAGCCTACCTTCGAGGTTGAGTGAACGGAACGCCACATCCGTGACAATCATTGCAATTACTATCACGGAACTGGTCAAGACCGCAGCCATTGTCCGTCTTGTGCATTATCAAATTCGCTGAATCGAGTAAGCCAATTTATTCCGTGGGCTCAACGCGCGCGCCGCAGCAATCCTCCTCTTCTATACATCGTCGCCAGTGACTGTAGCGCAGCAAAACATACACATGCAGCAGATTCAGCCTCTTAAACCATGCATTATTTCTTGCCAGTGCAGGTTTTGCTAGCATGGCGTCGTCCAATCTAAGCGTCTTTTCCCCCAGTAGCGTCGTTCTCCTCGTTTCGTCGAACCCCTACCTGTCCCTTGCGACGCTGACTCTCACGCCGTTGCCACTTGCTCTACTTCTGCTCGCGCTGCTTTTATCCGCGTCGTTTTACCTTGTGCATCTTCCCTTTGCATCGTTCTCCTTGTAAAATATTAGGAACATTAGACTTTCCGGCCTCTCCCCGCTCACAAGGTAAACCATCATTGGAGGCGGTCGTCCTATGATCGACCTGAGCTGTGGGGGGGGGCTATTCCGGGCATGCCTCTCACGAAGTCGCGGTGAATGCGAAAGGAAGGTTGAGAGACGGAAAAGTTTCAAAATTGACCGATTTCCATCAACCTGTTGTTCAAGTTTTATTTTGACGTTGACAACCGTAACATGTATCTGTGCGGCAATCGTTAATAATCAGACTTCAACACCATGAGCTATTTGATTTGAACGTTCTGGAGTCGAAAAAACACAATCATGGGACTTTTATGATGTGATAAGCTATCAAAACCGCTTTGATTTATCTTAATCGACGTGTATGGGAACCAAGGATGTTGCGCGTATCGTGTCTTTGCTTATGTCAACTAATTTTCGTTCATATCAGGGGTGACAGAGCTACGGCTGGTGCGTGCCTCGCCACACTAAGACACTTCCATGGTCGTGCGAGTACGTTTGACGGGCCGTGGAAGATGTATATGGACCACACACCACGGAACGTTGCTCGTTGCTGTGGCGACCATCCACTTAAGATTGGTAAGGATCTCGCCTGGTATGTAAAAGCCGATTCATGGGAGCCAGTGCAGTGATATTGTACAGCAGCATAGCATGACCATTCCAATGTCGCCGCTGCCGTATTTAGCATCGTATAATCAATGAAAATAATTGAGCACCAGGTTTGTCATTCATGATTAGACGACAACAGACATGGAGTAGCGCTTGACTTCTCAAGACATGACTCCTCTCTCAAATGGTTTGTAAGCTTTATTTTTATTGGTACGATTTAGCGATGAGCTATAAACTACAGCTTCAGTCTAGTCAGATGGAATGGATTCTCATTTGCGGGATTCGTTCGGAAGGGTGTCGGGCACGGCATTCGCAATCGTGGCAACACCAGCAATGGAACATACACATCACCCAGGTGATATCCCTGTGCAGCAAATTTCTTTCTTTAATGGGCAGCAGACCTCGCAGCAGTTCAGTGGCACTATGTACCGCGCCCTTTAGTCAATTGCCACGCTTTTGCCGAGAATCGTAATGCAATAATAGTATTGTGTCTATATCAAATTTACTCTTGGCACCTGGTAAAAAAATGTATCATTCAATAAAAATTAAATAAGCGTGGTACACTTAATTTCCGTCACGAAGTGGTGCTGTTTTTTGCGGCTGGTAATGGCTCTGTACTCTTTGCATCCGGTTTGCGACAAAAAATGCGATTTACTCTTCTGGATGCCAGCCAGTCCCGAGCCACACCCAAACAAATTGTGTCGGGGGTTCATGCTTCTTTGAGAGGCTACAGCTTGGTGGCACCAGGGTTCCTGGGTGGTACCATTGAGACTTAGATGGTGTACACATTGCATCCGATTGCGATCTCGGCAGTACAAATAACACGCCAACCGCGGTTGCGGCCGAGTATACGAGCATGTACGATGGAGCCAGGGTGCTAACGTCCATGAGGTAGACAGCAGGATCCTCGTCAGCTGGATTGACTAGTGGACTAATGCTTCGCGGTAACATTCTGTGCAAAGGTGGATTCGCAAGTTCAGCTAGTTCACGCCCCACGAGCTTGACCGGAAAACTGAAGTCGACTTGTTTTCTGCACATAGCACAGTATTGTGATGCGACCGAACCCACAAAATCGGAAAGCACAGATTTCAACTAGGGCACAAGAAAATAAAGTCGCTTACCGTGACAGGACTTCAATGATTTATAATTATAGATTACATGCCGTGATAAATGGGAGCAAGAGGGCAGAAATCGGTGGAGATCATGGTAACAGTAGTGACGACGCGGAGCCTGCCCAGCCTAACCAAATACCAATAACGAATCAAGAAACTACGGGAGGTTCACTCAACACAATTCAAGGCGAAGCGACGTGCAGCTACTGACTTGGTTTCAGCGACCGGTAGAGGCGCCTTGAAGTCGCTGCAGTTCCCCTTACCATCACGCTCAGGTGAAGCCAGGAGTTATACCATCATGTTTAAGATAGTGGATCGACGCTAACAGATAATTGTAAGAAGGTGCTACCGGATATCTAGTATTGACGACGACAATAAGTTGAGTTGAAGGATGCACCGTGACAAGCTTAAAGAGTTCACTAGCCGTTGAGTTCAGCATGACAGTAATACCGTCGACGAAATGTACCCTACGAGGACAGACTAAAGCTGAGGGCGACGACCAGCTAACAACAATACAGAAACATCAATCTGTTCGGCACAGCACCCTTGTTCCGTTGTTGTCCCAGCTTCTATAAATGAACAGCAGGCATTGCACGGGACTGTAGGGATACGGAGACCGAGCGTCTCGGCCGACAGGGCTAATTATTCGATGGTACAGCGCCATCCGTCAAACGACTCCAATCATCCATGTTTTAATCACTTCCGTTAATCAGACGCCGCCGGAGGGAGAGATCAGTGCTGTAGACCTCTTGCTGAGGGTCTTAGCTCGAGCACTCGCAAGCTCAAGAGTACAAGGTCATACCGGTCCATGATCGCTATTGCTCCCGCTGGTGCGGTTGAGGTCACACTAACACCTGCTTTGATCCATCGTCTTTCGTGTGGTCGCTAGCTCGACCACGTAGATTCGAGGGACCCTGACGAGTTTACGCATCGGCTCGAACGTCAGCCCCACCAAGTTCCTAACGCCTATACACACTTCGTTAGTCACTCTACCGACTTTGCGGTTCCGGTCAACTTCTGTAAACAGCTAGGCCGACATATCAGCCTAGCTCAGCACAGCAGCAGCGGTATCGAACTCGCTGATTGATGAACTTGACTTTGCCGACCCAGCACGATCTCGGATTGGCGCTTCGAGGTCACAGCTACCGCGGCTATTCCTACGACGGCGCTCACGGGGACCTAGGACTACTTTTGTCGCCTTTCGTGGTACGTTCACGAGTGCAGTCTAAAGAGTGTCTAAATTACCATGAGGCTGGGCGGCTGACTCAGGACTCGTACGTTCCAGTTACAGCTGGTTGCTTTCTCTTTGCCTCTTCTAGGGGTAGTATCACCAATGTCGACGAAGAGCAGATTGAGCTGACACCAAAAGCTCGCAGTGGTTCGAACACTCCACCACGGCTTTTTAGGGTTTGTCTGTCGAACGTCAGCATTTAGTCTCGCCGCTTGCTTTAACGACTCTGCCGGGTTTATCGCTTACCACATACGATAGCAGTGACTGCAACCATCATCGACCGTCGAAAAAGCAGCAGAACATCTTGTGAAGTCGGCGTATCGTTTCACTGGAACACAGACCAACGTCATCGATGGCACTGGCGTAATCTTCCAGCAAGAACAGGTCGACTGGATAAGATCAGCTCCGTGGAAATTGAGTCATTTTCTGTCGAGTCGGCTCATAGACGGACATGCTATCCGAACACCTGCATCCGACGATCATTACTTCTGATGCTATGCGCGCCGCTTCTGCAGCGGGCATTTGCTGTCCTCTAAATCAGACAGCTGTACGGTTCAGAGGAGTGGACAGCGTAACGTGACGATCCGTTTTCGTGCTAGTTGCCGCAGAAACGGGCCTCCTCCCTGACAACGGTTTGACGTTAACTCCCGTTCTTCTGCACTGATTCCAGCTCTTGGCAATGCGCTAGGGGAAGGTAAGCAATCCCTTCATCGTGGCCGGTACACTAGAGTTATGTAATACGTTAGATGTCCACGTCTATTTCGCGTTACCTTTCCTAAAAGGCAGTGTGGACATGTGAGCGTGGGACGACAGATTACACATGTACCGGCTTCCGATCAAAATTCCTTAACGGAAACCCGTACCTCTCTGCTTTCGTCTATCCTGGCCCGATCCATGAGGCTGTCCACACCTTAAATGAGAGAAAGAGAGAGCAGGTCGGTGACCTCGCTACTGCTGTGTGCCGGACCGAGTGTACCTCGCTTGTCTGCGCATCTGCACCGAACCGGGAACACTCGGGCAGAGATTGTGCTCGACAAACATGACTGGGTTTCTGCCAACTGCTCCAGCACGTTGTCGAATTCAGTGCAGGAGTACTTTCTTTGATGTAAGTCTGCCAGTCTTTGTGAGATTTGGCCTTTACATGGCAAAGCCTCGCGTCACCATGAGGCTGTACATAGACGAACAGCAATTCGCCACGCCCCACTAGCTCATCAACGACAAGACAGTCTCACGATCGCCGAGATTAGGCCATTAGTACGTGGAAGACTGCACAGCCATAGACGAGCTGACGTATACGTTCCTTTCCTCACAACTACGACAAGACTATAACATACCATCATCGTCATCCCGCGACTTCGACTTCGTCATTAGTGAATTTGCCTCACAAACTATAACCTCCTCGATACCTAGGGCAAGATGCGAATCCTCCCAGCACTTGTAGCGACTGCAGCTGTCTTACTCATGAGTTGCGACCACCTCGCATACGCTTCGAGCGACGAGATCAAGAAAGATGGAGTCTACGCGAAATTCTACCGTATTCGAGATGGAACCGTCGTAGAGAAGAAGGTGGTGTATCTTGGTGACAGCAATCAGTCCGAAAATAAGACGTCTGACCAGGATACCGATGGCTCGACGACCCAGGAAGAGAGGTTCTCTTATTTGGTTCCCATAGGCTTGAACAATCTCAGGATGATTTCGAAGCAAGTGGCGAAGTGGTTCCGGTGATAGCGCCGGCTGCGTACTGAAGGAGTCTAAGTCATCATCCCGTCATTCAGGGTCATACTTCGTGTCGTAGCTGAGGGTTTCATCGGTAAAATCTTTAGCGACACAACAATCTGTGAATAGATCACACCTTCTCTCGTTGAAGTCACAACGAGAACCAAACATGCACACTTCACCGTTTCATGTCGATGAGTCAATTTACCCGATCTTTTGTTACTTTCCAGGGAACAGTAGTTAGTCGACACACTTTCGCACCAAGCAAAGTCAACGTCAGGCGAACAGTGTCGTACAATAAAATTTCTGTAGCAATACGTCCGTAGCCAAACCCTTTCCAAACTGCTAATATTTCTGTCCTGACTGTCCCATTCTGATTACTACAAGCAAACACGCTAACAATCAGTAAGCGAAGCATTGCATCCGGTCCCAGAGGTATCGATTTGAAGCAGGATCTATAGATATTGCTTGACTGGTCCATTTGATGAGAACAGGTTTCCATCAAAACGAAGGTTAATTTCTTTGATAAATACTACCACAACGAATCTTTGACAACAACTTCCCGCACTAAGAAGCGCTACGAACAAATTCAAGTGCAATACACAAAAGACTCGCCTTCGGCAGCAATCGTGATCAAAATCGATCAGCACAGCTTTCGATGAGAATTCTACGCCACTTCCAAGAAAGCAAACAGCCGTATACGATCCAATAATTTGCTGAACATCTGGTAATCCATCTCTGGTCTACAGCAAGGCTGACTCCATCCAGCGTGCTCGAACATAACGAATGTCTAAGCGTGAACATCCGTTTTTATCTAAATGTGAACACTTGAAATCGCCTGCCAAATTTAATAACTAGACGCATCGCCAGTCCAATCGATTTACGTACAGGTAGTTTGTAACGGGATCGCACGGCGGTTACCGCCCGACAGAAGTATATTTCTTGAATTTGTGATACACAGCCCTCGAGTATTGTCTGTGATCGCTGATGTGGCTGATAACCTCCATCATCTATTGACGACTGTTTGATGCACCATCCATCAATCTCTCGGGATACAAAAGATTTCTATGAAAATGAGTTAATCTTCGATGAAATTAAAATAAAATGGCAATTTCTGTTATATCTTATGTTGACACGTGTCTTGTTCGGGCGTCGGCAGATCGCAAAGAGTAAAAGATTGTTGTGGCTTTTACTCTACAGTAATTCGTGCTTAGGATTTTAGTATCGGTGTTAGCCCCCTGAACCAGGACTCGAAGCTCTACGAGCTTGAAGACTCCCTGATAGTCTTCGTTTATTAGTGTTGAAAAATTAGATACTCTCTAAACTCATGAAAGCTGAGTTGCGCAGAGCTAGTTACTTCAGGAGTCCTTAGTCTTCCTCTCATGTAACGGGGTAGCCCGCTACATGAAAGTGACACCAAACGGTGTCAATAGAGATAGAGTCTAGCATGACAATATCCTACCAATATTATCCGAGGTGGATAATATCGAAGGGATATTATCCCGTTTTGGATAATATACATGCGCTGCTCAAAGATTGGTTGATATAAGACATATCAACCATAGATTACCACCAATAGCTGCTAGACGCGCACGATGAGTGGTGAGCAGGTTGTCGTCATACGACGGCGTAGTTTAATATTTTTAGATAAAGATTAAAGTTATATTGATAGATTACCTATGTTAAATGCAGTTCTCTTTTAACCCTTTATTCAGCTTAGTCGTTGAGTAGACTAGCTTCCTCTGCACGTACTAGTGTAAGTGAAGTTTCGCGGCACCCAAAGGGTTCCCCGTTAAACCTGGTATCACTTTGTAGTCCGTACAACGACTGCTTAGTGTCCGTCCAACATGAAAATGTTGATAGTAAAAGATGACAGCTTTCGCATCACACGTGAAGGCTAGTCCTATCTTAGTGACTCAGAATGGGTGATAGTCGGCCGCATGAGTGTGCTCATGGGCGAACCCGCCATCAGTGGCATGTCGGAGTCTCTAAGAAGAGACCAGCAACATGATGCTATAAACAAGTTCCTACAAGGGGGTCTTGCCGTCGAAAGACAAAAGATAGCCTTGCTACAATAGCAAGGCTCTCATCAGTCGATGGGCGGGCTGACGCACACGCGTCGACCCGACACCTTGAAGACTGATATCTCAAGGTATAAGGGAACCGATGAAGATTCTCTTTAGAGATGGTTCGTCGAGTCAGACGACGCCATCAGGGTCCGTCACATCGACGCTGACGAAATGCAAGTCACCTCCGCCCTGTCGAATTTGACAGGACGAGTAAAGACTTGGGTCTTAGGGCTCAAGCTTCACGACCCAAACGTGTTTAAGACGTTAGATATCTTGAAGTCTCGAATCAAAGACATGTTTGAGCCGCCAAGAGTCGAGTTCAGAGCACACTCTGTACTCCTGAGGCTAAAGCAAGGTAAGCGTGACGTGAACGCTTATGCACAACACCTCCGCTACCTTGTGAGTAGCATCTCGGAAAACCCTGTTGATGAGCACACGCTCATGAACGTGCTCACTACTACTACTACCACCACTACGGCCTTGTAGACGGTCCGGTGAAGACCTACATGTTCCGAGAGGACTACCATACGCTGGGAAAGGCGACAGCGTATGCGGAACAAGAAGACTGTAGCTTGGGACAGTCTCAGTCCGACTCTTCAAACTATCGTCCGACGAGACGACAGGAAACAGGAGGTCCCGAACCAATGGATCTCTGTTACTTCAAGAGCGAGAACTCTCGCTCTCTGAGTCACAAGCGAACGGCAAGATGTCATCGCTGTCAGAAAATTGGACACTACGCTCATGAGTGTATTGTCCCGAGCACTGCAACACGTCCAAAGACAGGACGTGATGACCACCATTGGCCAAGAAAAGATCCGAGGCGTGGGTCTGACCATGTCGCTAAGCCGCGACAGCAAGTCGGACCGTAAAAAAACGGACAGGGTCAGTAGGGGAGGAGCACCCTGCTGATCCAGTAACGTCAAGAGAATTTGCAGGACTCTTGACGAAGATTGCTCCCAACTCACAGTCGCTGTGTGTTACTGCCCCTAAGGATGAGGATTCTCTCATCACTTTAAAGATCGAAGTGACAAGTAAAGTGTCACTTCGCGCCCCAGTTGACTGTGGGGCGTCGAGCAGTTTTATGCGACGCCAGTCACTAGAGGATAGTAGACTCAACTATGTCTATCTCCAACGAGAATGACGGTGTGCCTTGCTACAGGCGCATCCGTAACAGTGAGCAAAAGTGTAGTGTGAATCCACTACACGCTGGAAGGAATGCAGTACGATGATGACCTCATTGTACTAGATTTGGAATAAGAAATTGACGTCATCCTCGGTCTGCCATGGCTTAGAAAATACCAGCCATGGGTCAGCTGGCAGCATCGATCCGTGAAGATGTCTGCCGTTTGTTCATAAGATGGACATCTGATGATTGTCTTGGAGATTCCACAAGCGTGTGGATATGCTACGAGTGAGTGCGATAGCCTCACTTGTGGTACGATCGTTAGTATGAGTGCACAATATCACAGTGTAGAAGGCCACTACACTGTGAAACCAGCTTCCGGCACCTGTTAAGAGAAACAGGCTGCGCCGAAGATTCACCACTCGAAGAGATCAAGTAAAATGGAACACGGATGCTCACCAAGAAGGGTGCATCCGAGAAGAGAGATTATTGTTGTTCAGGGTGAACAACACGTCGAAGTGAGATCGACTATCAGAGAGTCGGTCGTAGAGCAAGCCCGATCGACTGAAGGGGAGAGTCGATAGAAGAGGGCGTGACCGTGGTAGACACCCACAGTCAGTACACATAATGGAAGAAGGTTTCAGCTTTCCTGAAAGTGATAACTCCCTAGAGCGTTATGTTGAGGGTGTAGATTCCCAACCACCTACGGATGCGTTTTACCAGTAAATCGCCGAGTTAGTTAATGTCTTGGTGAATGACGGATCAAATGTAGGCGCTTATACACTTGATCTGGTTACGCCCCCGAAGTCAGCTTTGGAGGTAATTAAGTTGCCAACGCTAGAATCTAAAAGATTCTTGAAAGATCTGCGTATCGACAAGATCAAACAGATCTGCGCACTTGTCACAGAGGACGACTGCGTCGCCGATATTCGGTCGGCACAAGTGTTTTCTGAGAACGAACGGGTTCTCAGTAGCTCATCGATGGACGGGAGTGTCCTCGATGAGAAGACCCGGATTACGCGATACACGTCTCAATCTTGGGAGTCTTTAAAGATAAATCCTTTGTATAAGGTTTGATTAAATTCAGGGATGTTTTCCCTGAAGCCGTGCCATGCGAGCTGCCCAGGGACAAAGGCACTCGGCATGAGATCGAACTGAAACCTGGTTCAAATTACTGTGTCATGAAGCAGTGGCTGCTTCCTCGTATACAGGTCACAGCGATCGACAATTTCTTTGCCGATCGATTAGCGGCTGGTCATGTGAGGAAATCAACATCTCCACACAGCTCTCCAACCTTCTGTGTGCGAAAGGCCACAGGAGGGTGGCGGATAGTTCACGCTTTAACAAATTCACTGCTGCAACGGTACCGGCTCAGACGCCGAAACCAAGGAAGGTTGTTATCATATATGGTATGGCAAAGAGTATCATCTCTTCGCCCATGGATCTAATGGATGGATTCTATCAGATCCTCATGCGTGAACGGTACATCCCGTACGCAACAGTGAGCACCCCCAGTGGTATGCTCTGGGAGTGGCTAGTGATACCACAGGGGCTAAGTAACGCCCCCGCAACGTTTAACAGATGTGTTACGAATCTTTTGCGATCGGTGCGCGACTTTGCACCGAGTTACTTCGACGATGTCCTTATCTACAGCCGGGCTATGGATGGAAAGAAGGACGTGGAGGTTCATAGATTCCACGTCCGGAAGGTTCTTACTCTGATGCGAGAGCACAAGTTGTTCGCGAACCTCAAGAAGTGTATATTTGCAGCGAAAAAATACCACTTCTTGGCTGCATCGAGCGACAACACAGCGTACGCCCTGATCCGAAAAGGTCAAGGCGATTAGCGACTGGCCTGTGCCAGTCGACGTCAAGGGACTTCGAAAGTTCCTTGGCTAGGCGGCGTACTTGCACAAATACTCGCGCAACTATGCCGAGATGACTGTACATCTCTCTCGTCTACTAAAAAATGACGAGAGGTGGTCATGGAGCGCTGACTGTCAGCACTCCTTTGAAGGCATCAAGAAAAGCTTGGTGCAATCGCCTGTGTTGGCGATTGCAGATCAGGATAGACCATTCCATGTGGTCTGTGACGCCAGCGATTTTGCAATCGGCTGCGCGTTAGTGCAATACGACTCAGACGGCGTTGAGAGCATCGTCTGTTATCAATCGCGTCAGCTGCAAGCAACTGGGCGAAATAATCTGGTTCATGACAAGCATATCCTTGCTATATTATATGCACTGGCCAAGTTTCGGGTATATCTCTTAGGAGATAGGCCCTTCATCGTTTTTACCGACCATGCGTCGTTATGCACGGCCGTAAACAGTCCACACCTCTCGCAACGAATGGCGAGGTGGATGTATTTCTTCACGGAGTACAACTTCTCCGTCGAGTACAAACCAGGGCGACTTAATGTCGTCGCTGATGCTCTTTCACGTCGGCCCGATTTCGATCCGACTGCTCGACCCAACAGTAGGGGTGATCCCGCTGTCGCGACCCTAACAGTGAGTGTTCCGTCGTCGTATCTGCTCGACGAGGTGCGAAGAGCTTACGCAGAAGATGAGTCTCTTCTGCGATTGATGGATGACGTATCCAATACATGCAATCAGGCTTTAAAAATCTTGTCGTCTCAATACCGCTCTTCAGACGAACGGTATTCTTTTCGTGATGGACTACTGTACTATACAGCAGTCAACGGTGACACACCTCGTGTCGTCGTTCCCGCTTATAATGATTTGCGATTGCGCATCATGTATGAGTTTTGCGATGCCCCACCAAGCGGGCATCGTGGTAGAAGGAAGACTTCTCTCACGGTAAGTCGTGACTTCTACTGGCCCCGCCAGTAAGCGTTTGTGCGCAAACACATTTGGGCTTGCGAAGTTTGTCAACGGGTGAAGCCTAGTCCTTTATCCCACGCACCCTTGCAGCCTTTCCCGATTCCGGCAGAGTGATAGCAGTCCGTATCGATGGACTTCGTCTTAGGGTTTCCCACGAAAGATCACAAGAATACAGGAGATCTTGTGTTTGTTGATTGGTTCTGCGCGATGGCACATGTTAATGCTGCACCGGAGACAATCACAGCCCAGGGCTATGATCGTCTCTTCATGGACACTATCTTCCGACTTCACGGGTTACCCCGTGAACTCGCGTCTGATAGGGACCCCCGCTTTACGGCGGAGTTCTGGCAATCCGTGATCCGTTCACTTGGAACTCGTTTGATAAAGACAACTTCTGGCCTTCCAGAAACAGATGGTCAGACGTAACGCGTCAATCGCGTTCTCGAAGAGATACTTCGAGGGTCTGTCCACTCGTTTACGAATTGGAGTCGTTCTTGCCGATGGCGAAATTTGCCATCAATAACTCGGTGCACGCTTCGACAACGCATACACCGTTCTTCGTGAATAGCCTACGCCATCCACGTTTACCCGTTTTCTTAGAGTTTGACTCTAGTTTAAGGGAGTGGTGGACTCGCTCGAACAAAAACCAATCTGGTCCTTGCTCATCACCCGTCGACAATGGTGTCGACGTGATGGATGCCGATGTCGACGGGATCGATGTCGATGATCACGATGATGACGATGCTGGCATATTCAGCGTCGCCAACGGCTGCCAAAGTGAGGACAATGATACCCTCACTGGTGAAGACAACGTTCTTTCAGCAGTGCACACAAAGCGCACTCTGTTGATAAGGATGAATCATCAGAGGAATTTCTGCTTGCTCGCGAAGCAATTGTCCGCTTTGTTCAAGACTTTAGTGCAGATGCACTAGACAGACAGAAACGAAAAGCAGACAATATGGAAGAGCAAGAGCAAATTTTCTTACATTCAGTGAAGGAGACCTAGTTTTACTGTCTACAACAAACTTACCGAAGCACGCATGTACCTGGGCAGCAAATTACTGCCCAGGTACATCAGTCCATTTCGTGTGTTGCGCCGAATAGACAACGCATACACGATTAAACTGCCCCGTAAGATGCTCAAGCATCCTACGTTTTACGTTGGTCGTCTCCGCCCGTACTATCAGTGCGAGCCCGTTTCGAGATGCGAAGAACACCTCAACGGTCGAGAGCCGAGACCACCTTCGAGTGGTCCCGTTTTAATGAGCCAGTCTGGTCGATTAGCGAAGCGATCTGTTCACGCAGCTCAGCGATGTATAGACGAGCTGCAGCCAGCTCATCACGAAGAGAATGAGTCGAACATTCGTTCTCAAGTTGAGCGAACGCAAAAGCGGCACGATCTTCCGAGCGATCGTGCGGTATGGAATTATAATAATCACTCACAAGATCCTCAAGCCCATAACGCCGAGATCTTTCATGAGCCAGGTCATATTGAACCTGTTCCGTTACATGGTTCAGTTCCTGAGCATCAAGCTGATCCGACCCTCGAGCCGGATCAGGTGTTTTCGCCTCTACAACATCCGTTGGTGGATTCTGGCGGTGGTCAACGCTTTCTGGTGGAGTAAATCTTGAATCACCGCAACGTGAAGAGCGTCCGGACGAGTCACCTCGTCCGCTGGCGTGGCTATCCACCGGCCTGGGACAGCTGGGAGCCTCGCGCCCGAATACTCGTTAATGTTTGGGTCTCGTCGAGCAATATGAAGAGACCCACCCGCTGCGTTTGAAAAGGGGACGTCGGAAAGCGACCTCGCCGAACGCGAGTACATGGATTGCAAAGTGTCGATCCCTTCGGCCATCTCGGAAGAGATGCGCGCCCTCCAGTAGGGATCATTAGGGAGGTAAGCCTCCATAGGGGCACGATTCGAGTTGTCCAGGCAACCTGGACACGAATCACCACACTAGAGACAGAGCAACCCTGCCTCTCTTGACAGCCAGTGCAACTTGTATCGCACCCCCAATGGGTTACGTTTCTCAAACCTGATGCAAGCTGCATCAAGTTTGGCGAACCAGGCCTCACGGTCAATGCACTCAATGTTATGGATAATTGCATTCCATCCTTGCACCGAGGCTTTACCGTCTCGAACACGGCTGCTATTGTACCGCCGATGTTTGGAAAACGCATCGGTGAAGAATTCTTCCTCAGCAATAATAGTTTCCGTGCTAGAATCAGGTGGGCAAATATTCCTACAATCGATCAACAGGATTCGATCCCGTTCGGTAGTTATGCCGGCCAGCCGGTTTAACTCTCTGGATGACGACTACCACGAAAACTCAACTTGAGGAGCGTGACGCAGGATATTTCGGTCCCTGGCCTCTTGATTGGTGCCAGCGTGAGCACTGACACCAGTGGCAGATCTATCTCTTGCGTTACTCTGCTCGTGGTGATGTACAGGTGCATCACCACCATAACCACGCGTCATATCGTTGAATGGATTTGCGGGAGGCAAAGATTCGTCGGAATAATCACTCGATCCGAAGATCTCGGTCATGATACTGCCGCACTGACCAGAGCCAGCTAGCCTGGCTCTTGTAGCGTCCTCCTCGGGTGATCCCGAGACGTGAGGGGTCACCTTCGAGTCGGATGCATCATCCAACTCGCCAAAATACATGAGCTCTATCTCAGACTTGACTTGATTACAATTCGAGGTACTTGCTGCAGACGTAACGGATGTACCTGTCGCACGTGGTGACTCACCACGTGGAGGATTCACGACAACAGACGAAGAATCGCCTGCTCTTGAGGCGTAAGAGGCACTTTCCGCGGCTGCACGCATGCGTACAGCCGCTCTTCTTGCTGCTGCAGTAGCGACTCGCCTGATTTTCGAAACCATTCGTCGGATTGGCAAATGAATGGGATTTGACCAACAAGTGCTCCCTTTCCCAGAGTGATCCTACGGTGTTCACCCTGTCCCAATCAATGCTAATAAAATCAACGGGTGATTGATCATCAAGGGATGTGATGTAACGGGGTAGCCCGTTACATGAAAGTGACACCAAAGGGTGTCAATAGAGATAGAGTCTAGCATGACAATATCCTACCAATAAATATCCGAGATGGATGATATCGAAGGGATATTATCCCGTTTTGGATAATATACATGCGCTGCTCAAAGATTGGTTGATATAAGACATATCAACCATAGATTACCACCAATAGCTGCTAGACGCGCACGATGAGTGGTGAGCAGGTTGTCGTCATACGACGGCGTAGTTTAATATTTTTAGATAAAGATTAAAGTTATATTGATAGATTACCTATGTTAAATGCAGTTCTCATTTAACACTTTACTCAGCTTAGTCGTTGAGTAGACTAGCTTCCTCTGCACGTACTAGTGTAAGTGAAGTTTCGCGGCACTCAGACAAGGGTGCCCCGTTACACCTGGTAGCACATAGAGCTTTGTAATTCCACTGCATCTATAAGCAAACAAATCTGATAGAGTCTGCATACTCATCAATGGCATACTACAACTGCGTACTCTTTTTTTTCGCATAAGGATCACGTCTCATTCATTGCGTGCTTTGCATTGAACGCCTTCCTGTGCCCTGGTGCTTACATAAAAGTGTCATACGTATGCAGTACAGTGGAACCTGTCCATTTGAAATCTCCCTTAAATAATTTCGTTATTTGTTTTGATTTCTCGGTCCCGACTCGGGACAAATTTATTTGATAAACCTCTACGATTTTTATTTTGAGCCAAAACACGAGCCCTGAACCCCTTATTTTAACATCATATATCAATTTGGGCTGGCTTGAGTATGTAGACAGCACGATACTGCTTTGGGAGCCCCTCCTCCTCTGCATCACCCATGTACGAGGGCCGTACACCTGTTGCCGACAAAACGGTATGGAATATGGGTGTGTCTCATGACGAGATCCATACTGGCACTAATTCTTCTTAATGCGCGCAATTGTACTGCCGAGTTTCCGCCCTACAGAGTTTGAAATTCCTCATTTGTACCAGCAATTGTTGTACAATTTTTTTTTATTTAAGAATGCGGCGGGCAGATGCCAAATGTGAAGCCTATGTATTGTGTTGCCAGGTTTTGCAGAAAGCTCATTTAAGGCCAAAAATTAATCGTTACATTACCACCAAAGCATGGTTCGGTGGATAAAATTTATCCCTTGTCATCGCGTACATCATCGTAGGTGCGCTCAGTATGTGCTGGACACCTTTTTCTTTGTTAAGCACAAGCTCAGTTTACGTAATCTGGGTGGCACGCGGTGCAAGGTAATGGGATATACATACATCAGAGCAACAAATTTAAAGAAAGACCAGGTAAGATAATGAGCGCTCAGTGGGATATTTGAATGACGCATTTAACTCCTACACGCGAACGAGATTTCACAAACCTAAGAACAGGTCTGTGGACTTAATAGGTCTGTGAACAGAACAGTTTTGTGAAGCATTTTTCGCGTGTAGAAGTTACCTACGTCATTCAAATATTCCACTAAGCGCTCACCATCTTCTTATTGAGTTAATTTTCTCAGTTTTCTTGCAGAGGCGTCATCAAAGCTCTTGTCACAGAAGACGAAAGAATGACTATCGAAAATCTACCCAGCATTTTTCTCAATTAGCTCATCGCTCAGACATGCTTGCTCCTGATGGCTTTTGAACTAACCTGAAATCCCAAATTGGTTAAATAATACTTGACTGTTTGATGTCGGTGACTGTTTGCATTTGCATCAAAGCAAACAATAAGCGACATCGGACCGTCAACTAAGCCGATCTCGATTAATTCTTCTTTCTGCTTAAGCGTGTGGAATTAGTAGCCGGTAACACATTGGCATCCTGCTTATTTGAAGCCAGGTGAGTAGTTGGAGCTGAGTCAGCTTTGGGTTTGCTGTGTGATATTTACAAAGAGCAATGCGGATGTATTCCTATTTACCTGATATAAATAATAAACTACATAAAATTACAGAACATCGGCGTCCCCAGAGTTATGATTGCTAATGTACTATATGGTCTCTATTGAAATGTTGTTTTATCCCTCCTATCATTCAAGTGGTTTTAAAAAGTCATTGATTGTACCGTCCATAAGTAATTAATACTGTTACGTTGTGCAAAGGTGGTACAAATCGTCGTGAAGCAATCGATGAACTTATGCTTTCGAATTGAGCTTATTCATTATTTTAAACTTTATTTGTCTTGGTGGCACATTTATTCAGCGTAGATGTAGAGGGTGCTGTAATTGTGAGGTCGAGGGGTGAAGCTGTTAGTTACTACGCTTAAGGTGCATGCCGAATTTTTAAATCGTACCTATCAGTGTGTGTGTGTCTGTCTGTGTGTTTAAACAGCGCTAGGAGTACCATTAAAGTCGTAAAATTAGTCCGATCTAGTCTGTTACCCCTGTAAATGTGAAATAAACACTAGGTGTACCTTCACGTCACATTAAGTGCGATGTAGGTTGTCCGTGAGTGACGCTTGATGTACCTTACACGTTGTTCTAAGTTTGATTCTGCCTATCCTCTCATTTGCATGCGTCTGTAAATAATGAATAGGTGTAGCTTGCATGTCTTAGTAAGTGCGTTTAGTCTTACACTAACTTTCCACTTTAGTAACGCCAAGTGAGCACTACACTTCGCACTAAGTGCGATCTTGTAAGTCTCATTTGCGTCTGTAAGTAACCCTGTATGGTCCTTAAACGTCGTATTAAGTGCGATATAGCGTTGATCCCCTCTTCATTGGTCGGTAAGCATTGTTGCAATCCTGATGGATTAAGCCATTAGTTATAAAGCGCATGTGTAAATATCAGGTCCTGATCCAGTTTTTAGAATGATTTTTACACCAATGGGCGGGCAATGGAGCTTGCTCCACTGTCTTTTGCTGTTAAAAAAGCGTAATATAAAAGATAGGGAAGCAATCTCTGGAGCCAACCCTTTCAAACAAGGTATTCCGTCCATAGTACTCAATTAAATTATGTACATCCATGTGTCTTGATCTCAGCCACTCACAGCTTCACCATTTGGGCTTGCACTATTACAAATAGACCAAAAAAGATATGATTCATGCTGTATCGCACTTAGTACGACTTGTAAAATACACTTGTATTTTTTTTACAGACGTGTGTAATCGAGGTGGCAGGATAAACCGAAGTTAGTACGATGCATAAGGTAAAATAAACGTTTCCCACGCACACAAAAGGTGGCAGACTACATTGCACTTAGAGCGACGAGTAAGGTACACCTGGCGTCATTCACTTACACAGGTGGTGACGGACCAATTTAAACCTAGTGCGATGTTTGAGATACTCCTTCCGTTGCTCACATGCAAAGAAATCTATAAGTTTTGGAAAATCAGTAGAAAAATTGTGCACACTTATTAATAGCTTCACCCGCCGGGATCGCAATACCAAATGAGCATTTTTTGCTAAGTCCGACATAGTATTTATGAGAGGTTTTAAAACATGGTCGTCATGGACTATAGGCGGCCTTCGTTCGAGAACAGAGAGACTAAGTTCAATCAGCCATAGCATATTCTTCTTAAAAGCTAGCTTGAATGCGTGTAAGCACCATCCTTAAAACAAGCTTTAAAATCGTGATGATATAGCCGACAGTGGTTGGTCGAAGTGAGAGATCTCGAGCCAAATACAGAAAGACCTCCCCTTACCCTGGAAGTTTGCGCCAATAAAAGTGAATTCGTGTGCACTTGTAAATCTGAAGCTCGACTTTCAGAACGCTTAAATTTCCCCAAAAATTCGGGTAAGTAAGTTATCAAAAATCCAGAGATCGTGGCTTTGTTTGCATCCAGCTAAATCGACACTTGTAAACTACTTAAAGTTGATGGACTTGCAGACAGGTCGTCAAATTTTGGTATCACGTATATCGATTGCGAATTCGCTGGACGCTTTATCATATACATTTTTGTTAGGTAATTTGTAAGTATTGATATTCATTCAAACAATCATAGACTTAAACATCCTCTCCACATAGTTAGGCTGTGCTCGTACACGAAATTGCGTGCAATTTCGAAAACGAGAGCTTGGCTAACGCATGCGAGATGCATGATGTGGCACCAGCCATTTATTATTATTACTTCCCTATGCTAGTTTTTTGAACTCCAAATAAACTTTCGTCACTAGTGGAAGTTTTTATCACATTTTTAGGGATCGAGCGAGTCGGCTGGTTAGAACCCAATGAGGGTAGTGCACTACTCTGGGGCCTAATGTAGCAAGATTCACCTCTTATAGGAGTACATTAAAGGTTATATTAAAATGGAGGTATTTATCTCCGCGTGAAATTACTAAACTAACTAATGTACACTCATGGCGTGGTCACAAGATAATCTGATTCTTTTAACCCACCACAGTTTTCCACCGAGACACACATCGGTGCTGTAAGAGTGAGATCCTTCTATACTAGAGACTAAAAGCTTTACCCGCGGCTGTATTGCACATAAACTCCAGGTCAAAATTATAGTACACCCACGTGTTTCAAGTTTCTCAGCAAATATTACGAATTAAAAACTGCCGTTTGGACATAATAGATCTTTAAGTGCGTTCAATAAATTGCATGTTTTATCAACCCGATTTTAGCAGTGTACGGGGTCTCCCATACAAATTTCTAAAAAACGGACGTGGAAAAAGATGATCCTTTATCCATATGAAGATTAGATACGGGAGAGAGCAAGTATTTCATAGCATAAAAGAGCTGTGGTATGGAGAGCGGAGAAGCATATGCGATCTACGTGAGGTCTGGCACTCTATTCAAAACATTACAAGACGTCTTCAGAACTTGCACAATCGTGCATGCAAGTATTGCAGTTTGAGCGAGTAAAAACCACGATGGATTCCCACACGCTTTTTGAAATCCATGAAATCCAGCGCGTCCTGT